CACTTAAATATCAAAATCACTAATCTTCACGCGACATTATTAAATTCTCTTTACATCAGTACTGTTACCAACAGGATCACCAGCAGTACAAACATCTTGTAACATTTCTTCCACCTCCGAACAAAGACAGCGTTTTCTTTCGACCAACTGAGCCTTTGGTCTCAAGAGAGCTTCAGATTCACAATTTGTTATATTTCTCTCACTTTATCCATTTACAAGCAGCCGACAAAATGGCCGACAGGAATGCTAATCGGTTCGCCAGTCATGATAACATCATCATTTAAAATCCTTCCGAAAGAACTCTCGTTCAAACAGCGAACACTAACAAAGTTTATGGAAAATTTTGTAATTAACTTGTGAAAAATTCAGAAAGCGTGAATCTATCAAAAAATCTTCAACTTAAATGAATAAATTTAGGCTATTTCTGTATTGTGTGCTTCCATAATTTAAATCGAGAATGTTTTGTTTTTTCTAATTTTATCTTTGAGAGAAATGTTGTCATGAGATTCAGAGAATTATTCATGTGATATATAATTCTGTAACCTTGTCTGCCACTGCTGTTCACTTGAAGGGCATTTAGCGTATATTAAATGTGGATTTCATTCGAGTGCATTTTCACTATTTTCACCAGATAAATTAATTTCAATGAATAATGTATTTTTTTAATATTATTATTGTCTATGAAGAAAATCTGAACAAATCTGTGTATGTCCTGGTCACCTATTATAACGCGAAGAATAGGAACCACGTGTTACAGAATCGTTCGCTAATGCCATGAGTTCGATTGTCACATGTGCCAGAATAAAATAAGACAAGGCCTACTGTGGTATAAGTTCTTCTCTAAGTGCACTAGTGTCGGAAATTTCATCCTCACAAGATGCGTTACATTGTGCCTAATTTCACTGACAGACGGGATGGTTAGTAAGGACTTCTTTTAGACTAGCGTGCTAGTTTAATCACCAGTGAGTAGGCCCCTAAAAATACTGAACTAGGTGAATTTGTGTTGTACTAATATCGACAAAATAAATATAGAATTATTATGAGTCATGTGTCACAATTCATTTTATAATTATTTTATGTAATTCCATGTCCTTTCAAGACGTAGGCAACAATGGCTCCTTGATTCCACTTTCCGAGTCGATATCCCTTACACTAGCCACAGATTTCCATTTTGTAATACTCTTGTCTAAATGCTTTGCCATTCTGCATTCTCATTATAATCTAAATATCGCAAAAATTATTGGTGAGATGTGTATTTAACTTACGTCAGAATGCCACGAGTCTCGAAATATATTAGGGTCGTTGGGGCAACGCATGTACTGTAACAGTTTCTTGTAGATCAAGCTTGATGGCACTCAACCCTTTGGTTTTGAATTCAGAGTTTTCCTTCTACTACCTGAACGTAAAAAGGCGCATTCTGCCCTGCTTTTTAACGCATAGCTGAAATAATAAGAGATGAATTCATGCCTTTTCCAGGCGTATATGCGCGAAAGTGAACGCATAAATTCAACCAGCTGCATCGAAAATTTGTTGCACATTCTTAGTATTTTGAACAAGTGTGTGTCGTTTTGTTAATGATCTTATTTATTGTTGGTTATATATATATATATATATACATTATATATATATATATATATATGTGTGTGTGTGTGTGTGTGTGAATGATGCCCTTTTCATTTGTTCTATTACGATCATTCTTACAGCTGTCTATTCTATAATTGGCATATCAGCATCGTAACTCAGGAGTAAGAGAGATACAATATTAATAAAATAGTTTCGTAGAGAAAGGTAAATGATAAAAACGGGGAAGATAGAGACATTTCCAGTGGCCACTGAGGTTTATATATATATATATATACTAGCTATAAACGTCGCCCTATTGTAATATATCTATCGGGCGTCATTTAAGCTAGCTCCTGCGGGGAGATCTTTCTTCAGGCCTTCATCACAGTAGGCAGGCAGAAGTAGATGCGATAAACAATAAACTACAGAATAACTCAAAATTGATCGTTGCATCAAAGTATTGCATTAATATTTAAGCTTACCTTTTAAAAAATAAGCGATAATTCTTCTGTCGCCACTTAATTTCAAAACAGTTTGATGTACGTAGATCCTTACTTTCCATACAAACAATTATTTTTATTTCAGTTGTGACTTCGCTGGATTTCGCCATTAATTCCGATTATTCCCGAATTTATTTCCAAGTTAAAAAAATTGTTATCGTACAAAAAAAAAATCGTTGTAAAAAATCACGAAAAAATATCACCGAAAATAATCGCAGTAATAAAAAATGAAGCTTTCAGGTCTGGAATGTAATCCGAAATGTTTTTCATTTGCTTACAGAGTCGACCTGATTCCAAAGTGGTATGAGATGTTGGGCTACGAATATATATATATATATATATATATATATATATATATATATATATATATATATATATATATATATATATATATATATATATATATATATATATATATATATATATATATATATATATATATATATATATATATATATATATATATATGAGGGACTATGCGAGTCTACGCATGTGTACATGTGAACTTATTTGCATATGTGATTGCTGTTATATTTAGTGTGTTAAAAGTGTCTCATCGATTTTCATTTACTGATCATAATTTTGCTGCAGAAAAATTCCTTGAACAAAGCTCGGATCGATTTTCACTTCATTCTTTTGGTTCATTAGTTCAAAAAAGTCCGTTAATTACCAAAGCCAACGCTTCCGACATGTTACAGTTGTAAAACCGGAAGTACGGTTGACAGTCATTCCTTTCTCTCGATTTTGTTGGGACAATCGGAAAACGGAATATTAGTGATTCATTTCATAGGATAAATGGTCAAAATTGATAGTCACTCACTTCAAATGTTTTATTATATTGTTTTTATTATCTATTTCTGAAGTTTAATTTAATCTGGCAGCAAAGTCTGGTTAATAAAGTAGGAACTTTAAAAGTGATTGAACTGTTTCCCTGACTAACTTAATAGTTACATAGAATAGTTGCAGAATTTTTGTTCGAATTTTTCTGAAAAGAAACATTGTTTTTATTAGTACAAAAGTGTCCAGTGAGACAGAGGTAGATAGAGGTAGATCTCAGTCCGGAAATCGACTAGTGAATGTTTGTCCAGAAAGACTTTTATTAGAAAGGCATCAAATAAATCAGCCACTTAGCTATATTTTTATTTCTCCCATTGCAACACACAATTATCTTATTCCTGTATTAAAACTACTATCAGATATAAAATTTTACGAATTTCTTAATGAAGTAATCATTATTATTCATTTTTTAATCGTATTTTTTAAACTTATTTTTAGTTTCTTTTTTTATTTTTACTTTTGAATTCCTGCCCGTTATTTTACGACCGTTAAGTAACCCTAGCCTAATCGCCAAGACGCTGCAAATAACAATAAAGACGAGATGCAACGATATCTACTCACAGAGACGGGGCAGCAGAAACATATTCATAGATGGACAGCCTTATAAGGTTGACTTATACGATGAAAGGAAATGAAAGATCTTTTTAAATTATATCACCTCGTGTGCCCGTTAACCTCTGCCTGTCGTCACTTCCGGTTTCAACGTAGGCACGTCCCTTGTTCGTTTCACAAATAACTGTGCGTCGAGGGCCCTCATTTGTCAAGACGTGAAAATTCTATTTCACACTCGGGTGGCCCAAGAAGATGGCCGCCAAATGTGATGGACATTTGTCCGTTCTCTGGCGGAAGTGGACGGTCTTGTATGCAGGCTGCCTGGCAGCTCGAAAGTCGGAAATATTCCTGAGAAACGGAGAGTTTCGGACAGCTCGACTTTATCTTCAGTTTCTGATTGGAAGGAAACAAAGAAAGAAACCGAAAGCGGGCGAGAAAAAGAAAACAGGAGAGGGGGAGAAAGATAAAACGAGAGGGAGGGAGAAAGAGAAGACTCCTTTAAACGATAGAAATAGGCAATAAGGTGAGATTGAGAACGATGGAGAAAAAGAAGGCAGAAATAATTGAGAATCTGTAGTAATAAGGGAGAAGGGGAAATTTAACAGGTTAGAGGATTGCTAATATTTCAGGGGCGTTTATCGTAGCACAATAGTTAACGGGATCATCTCTCAGACCAGTTTGTCAGGATAATGACCACCGATCTTCCTTGGGCGCCTCAATACTACAGCAATAGTGGTTTCCAAAATTTTCTCATTGCTACCCTTTTTGTTCTCACGACACATCAATAACGCCCATCTCCTACATTCTTTTGAATACATTTTTTCTTGTTATTAAGTAATTCAAAGCAATAAAAACAATCAAAACAGCAACTAACTTATCGCTGTAAACGCACATATACATTTCAACTTTTCTTAAAAGCTATTAAATAACATGTCACCACACAAACGTCTGTGGCTATATCGCTACAGATAGAAACATAAAGCATTGGAGTGTTGACGTGTTGGCTGTCTGATTTGGCTGGTATGTGATACGTCTTATCCAGATAACATCAGTAAGTCACACAAAAACATTCAGACTTTTACCTTCGGCAAAAAAATAAAATAAAATCATGTATTTGTGTATAAGTCTTATGCCAATTTTATTCTTTAAAAAGCGTACGTTTTCCTCATGCGTAATCGACTTAAAATTTTGCAAAAAGATTATTAATTGGTTCTAATGCCACACGACTCCCCTCCCTACAACTCCATTTTCTAAACGTCTTTTCGTCAACGGCCACTGTATCTTTCCTTCCCTCCCCACAAGTGGGCAGTACCAACCTCTTAGGAAATCCTCTTACTATATATCTGTGCTCGGCTAATCCTCCACAACGAAAGACAGATATCCACTTTAAAGATTCTGGGTCATTTGACGAGGGCTGTAGACTGAGAAGGGGAACTTTAAAAACGGTTGTGGTAAATCTGACAAGAAACAGGAAACTACGAGAAGACTTTTTTCAACATATATTTGACTGACTTGTTCATCAAAGTTACTTCCGTGACGGAATCCGCTTACGGTTACATCAAGTTGTAACACCGATTTCCGTATGATCACTGAAGTTAAGCAACGTCGGACCTGGTTAGTACCAAGATGGATGACCGCTTGGGAATAGCAGGTACTCTAACCTTGGATGTGCGGGTGGTATAATGGATAATGACTCGGAATTGTTAATAGGAGATCAGTGTTCCAGTTCCAGTTGGGTCCGTTATATTCCCAAACACCCTTGGGAAAGGTATGAATTCACCTCTTCTCCCCCAGATATGGGTTAATTAGTAAGACTTGTATCACTAAAATATTATTATCTAAAAAATTCTTACAATCTAAAAATATTTCATAGCTTTAAATAACCTGCAGAGGGTTGATAAGCTATAGAAAACGAACCAATCAACCTTGCCACAATCCAGAAACTGAATTGATCTTAAGGTGACCTTAAATAGCTAGTATCTCATTTGGAGTCCAGTATCATAAAATTTGAAGAAAAATTACTAAGCGGAATAATTAAGCCTGACAGATGGTTGATTTCACCCTTTTTCTTTTTTAGGTCTTGTCCTGTGAAATTAACATTTTGCTAGTGTTCGATCATAAATTAATTTGTTTCTCTGAGTTGTCCTCTCTCAGAGAGGGTGCTCTGGAACCTGAAAACGCCACTTAAGGCTATCGTCACCAGAAAACAATTGCAAACAATAGTTGTGAGAAGGTTAATGGATAGACATATCACACGAACCAATACATAACATCACTGAGCGCCCGTTTCTTATGATCTTATACTAGATTAAGCTTAGCTTAGTATATTTTAGTATCTAATTAGAAATTTCGCCTTGACTCGTTGTTTGTCAAAATAGTGACACTGATTTTCATTCAGTCCACATCTTTTGTGGCCTTCTGCTATACACAGCTAAACTTAGTAAACATTTATTGTTAATATTGTAGTTGCGTAAAAGTTTTAATGAATAGTAAGCAATTGGCAAAATAAAAAGAAAATGTACACCTAAAGAAGGAGAAATGATATATCAGTTGAAACAACAAAAATGGTGACAATAATCCAAAAAATATAAATAATTATCATGAAAAATGCTTCATCAGATTTCAGACAATAAAGGAAGCAGATTAATAGAAACACTGTATTAAAAACAAGATGAAGAAAATTATCCAAAAAATACACGGAGGAATGAAAAGACTTAATCTCAAAAAGGTTAGACAATAGTTAGAAGAGAAACGAAGAAAGCAAAATATCATACTTCCTATAATAGTCCGCAAGGGACTCCTTCTCTGACTTTTGCCGGGAAAGTTGAAATTAATATTAGCTCAAGTCTCAATGGGACCATGTCGTTCCCAGGCCGTACCTCTCCTTCGGGAGGAGACTGGGTCAATTACGCGGTGTCTGAGGCGGCCCCAAAAATGGAAATGTCGAGGGACCTTGAGCAATTTTTCCACGATATTGCCTTTAAACCCACTTTAAAATTCGACCTTGTGTCACATTCGGTAACAACATGAGCGCAGTGAAAAATTCACCTGTAATAGTACGTAAATGAGTTTGGACAATTCGTATTCATTTGATAATGTCTGTTGTAAATATAAAAGGACAGATGATTCATTTTGATTGCATGTATGGCCATGTGACGCCAGCAGATTATATAAATTTTAAGCAACTAAGTGATTAAATTATTGAGATTTGGTATATAAAATGAGCTTTCAGTGCGATTCTCACATTCGATTTAAAAAGAAGCTTCATACATCATATTTTGGAAGCTAGGAAGCTAGTACAAAAAAAAAAAAAAAACGACAGTGAAGTATTGAGTAAGGGTCGATGACGAGACGACCGTGACAGTCATCTTTGTTTCTTACAAGGTTCACTTCTTTTTTCTTTTTCTCTTTCAAACTCCCTCTCTGTTACTGAAGATCACTTTCTGAATGCTACTTTATCACTGAATGAATTTCTCTCTTTCTCTCTCTCTCTCTCTCTCTCTCTCTCTCTCTCTCTCTTTATGTCTCTCTTTGAATCTTTCTCCTCTCTCATTAAATATATATATATATCTCACACACACACACACACACGCACACGCACACGCACACACACACACTGAAGACTTCCGTCTCATTCTCTCTGAATGTTTCCGTTTACCTCTAAATTCTTGCCTCTCTCACTTTGAAAGTGTTTCCTGAATCTGACGATTTCACAAGTACATTGACCATGGAAGGTGAAAGACTAATCTCGTTGTAGTGCAAGCTAGTCAAAGTTCGACCCTCACTGGATGTTCCATACTTCTGGTTTTGTGATAAAATTATGCTTACTTTGATAAATAAATAAAGGTTAACAATCTGATCTTACTTCGATTCTCACAAGGTACTGTACATATGTGATCTTTTGCGAAATGTAAGCTAGCCTTAATAACTACCTATAAAAGAGATCAAACTTGTCTGATCATACACCTCATATATCATTATTAGTCATTTAAGACTTTCTAATCTTAAGAAAACTAAAGAAATATTTTGAGGAAATATTTGGAATATTAATCCATTAATGCTCGCCAAACTATATTTGGAACAATGAGTATTAATGGATTGTAGGTAGAAATGCATGAATTTAATAAGCCTATAATTAATTAATCCGATTGTTTAGAAATATATAATTAATAGAGTATTTTTATTTTAATCCTTATAATTAATACCTGATTGTTTAGAAACCTATAACTAATACTGGATTTTCATTTTAATTTTTATAATTAACACCGGATTTTACGGTGGCCATTAATGGGTTAATATAATGATGACTTTCATCAATCTTACAACCAGCGATATTTTTAGCAACAGTTAACAACTGTAGCCATGTTAACATTGCTCGCAGATCTCTGTTTGGGTATTGTTTTCCATTCCCATATACACCTGTTTTAATGACAGACCAAAATATTTCTATTAGATTAATACCTGTTGAGTTTGGGTCCATTAATTTTATGTCTCTAAAAATTTTCCTGGCAAGTTGGCTAATAAACTTTACTGAAAGCGAAGGAGAGATGAAATGCTTGCTTAAAGATTCTTAATTGTGACATAACGCATTAGAAACAAAAACACATAAAAATTATCCCAAACATTCATTTACCTTATGCCTGTCTTTTTTTCTTTTTAATCATATTGTATTAGCAATTTTTATGGAAGATCCAGCCATCAGCTCTGTATTTTTTGCTAAGAATTACTATTAAGAAATCAGTTTTCATGTACTTCTTCATCCAATTTTGTCTTTGTAATGTTTATTTATTTTGGCTGCTTTCATGACTTTAGGCAATTTTTTTTTAATATTCTGCATATTTTTATCTCTGTTTACATTAAAAACAGTAGTTTCTTCCAATATTTCTTTGCTGATCAATACTCTTCTTACTTATTAACTTTATTAATTTTATCCAATTAATTTTATGTCATGCTAAAATCGAGTTTTATATTGTTATTTTACTGCTTTTCATTTCTTTTTTATTATACTGTGATCGCGGTTTAACTTTTTTTCCAATTTATATTGTTGTGTTCATATGTTTATAGTGCTTATTTTATGCATTATTTATTATTGATTACTTTATTATTTGTTGATTGTTATTATTACATTTATTTATGTTTATCTGTGCATTCGTAGTTTGTAAATTTGTAAATTATTTTATTTGTTTACTTATTTATTGATTTATATTTTTTGTTTATTTTATTTTACTTATTTATTTTTTTCGTAACCGTTTTTAGTTTTCGATTTTTAAGTAACGTAATAAAAAATTGGTTTTGTGTTTTCATTTTGAGATGAGTTCTGACCGTTTATTTAGTAATTTGTGTTAGTCTGGGAAGCTAATTATAGTTATTTTCTTCTTCAAAAGAAAATAACTATAATTAATGTCCCGAAGATTGCGTTCAAGCATGAAACAGACTGTCACCGCTAGGTGTTGACCACAGTGTCACGCACACACACACACATATATATTTTTATATATCATAAAGAAGTAATTTATACAAAGAATTAATTAGTAATGTTAATGTGATTAATAGTAAAATCACTTCGCTAACAAGACTTAATGAGACATTAACTGACAATCAATTCCTTGCATAAAACGATTCTTATATTTGAGTTGTTGTCAGATGGAACTGACGATCCAAATACTTTCAAGAATTTCAAATTATCATTTTGGGATGCTAATTAATTTACATTGCTAATTAATTCTTTGTACAAATTACTTCTTTATCATATAATATATAAGCTGCACACGCTAATACATATTAATATTAACATTTTCTGTGCAACCAATGTATGTTTTATTAAAATTTTTGTCGTCACTGACTTCCACTGAGTAAACCATACCTTCAGAGTTTAAAAAGTAACAACTAGAATATTCTATCGAAAACAAAAACTAAAGAACTCAATATTTGTGGCATGAATTATTCTTTGACGACTTACAAAGTACTTTATTACTCGATTTGTACTAGTCAAAATTTTTTTACACTATTCGGTAATTCTGTGTGCTTCAGCGAATGTCTCTACGCGGTTCTCTCCCATCGATTAATGTTGTATCTGTTTGCCGTACCTAACAATATTTACTATCGAATTTTACTTCTCAATGTTGGCATAATGGATATGCCAGTTGTCTGCTTACATATAGAGCTGGAGTTCGAATCAGACCAGCGTTCACTTATGAACATATGTACCTTGCACCAGATAGATGGACAGAAACATACAGAAAAATCACATTGGCCTTTATTATGCACGATTCGGATTCCTTGTGCAAATTTAAAACGACCTGAATAAAACACAAATCTTGCATTTCAATATAAAGTAGATATCCTATATCTGACTTTTGTTTGTTCAAAATTCAACATGTTCGATTATCTAATTATATCAGATTATTTCATTTTCTTCTGGTTAAAGGTAAATTTAATCACCGTCATTGATCACTTCTGTAACACTGAATCGTCATCCTGTTTCTTCTAAATTCTGAAAGAATGAATTGTCATTATTTGGCTAGTGTTCTTGGTTCGATTCCAACATCTCAACCAATGACATCTTCGGACTTCTTCAAGAGTGTCACACATATAATTGCGTCTTAAGTTAGCATCTTTTAGTATTTGTTTCGACAGAAACATTTCGAGAAATTAA